AGTGTCCAAAGACACCTGATGAGCGAGAGAGAATGAGTCAGATTCTATGTGCTTCGCTTATTGGATCGATCATGTACGCCATGATATGTACAAGTTGGATGTATCGTATGCCTTGAGTGCTACGAGCTGATACCAATCAGACCCAGGAGAGGCGCATTGGACTAAAACCAAGAATATCCTAAAGTACCTGAAAAGGAACAAGGATAAATTTCTAGTCTATGGTGGGAGTAAGGATTTGGTTGTTGAAGGTTCTACCGACGCAAGCTTCCAGACTGACAGAGACGACTTCAAGTCGCAATTAGGATACTTGTTCTGTCTTAATGGAGGATAAGAAAGTTAAACATGTCATGAGGAGATTTCACATGATAAGGGAATGAAGTCTGAGGGTGAAATATGAATTTGCAAGATTGGAACGGACGACAATGTAGCCGATCCACTCACGAAACCTTTGCCTCAAGTGAAACACAACAGGCACGTTGAGGCAATGGGAATCAGGCATATTGGAGATTGGCTTTGATTTCCCTTTTTGTGTGTTTTAATTAAGTTGTGGAGATCTTAATATAGAACACTAAGTTAAACCATTCATTTATGGAGTAATCTTAATTTTTCGCAAATTATTATTCCATTTCTATTTAATTGTGGTTTAGAATTAAATAATAAGTCCATTCGATTTGTGTATATTCAAAATAGGGTATCAAGACAATGTCTTGGATAAAGAAACACCTATTCAATGAACGTTGAATATCATATTGTGATTATCCCTAATCAAGGTCATTTGAAAGTTGGATGACTAATGACCACGTGAGATTAGTGTGTAGTATGATTTATAGCACCGTTTCTTGTGCTACAAGGACAAGATTGTCATAAATCATTTGCACAGGTATTAGCTTGGAACTATACCGGATCGACCTATGAGAATACTTTAAGAGATTTTACAATCGTCATAAGTATATTACTCATTATGGCTATCGGAACCTCTTTCCTCGACCATGAGTATTGATAGTTCTCTTGTTTGAGTACTAGTCCGCTTTGACTTTTTCAAATGCCTGCCGTACAAGGGGATTATAAAGGCAACACTCGGGTGGCTAGGGCTTCTTAGTAAGGGAAGCTAACAATGCAAGACTGGGAATGTCCCCCTATTAATAATAAGGAATATGTCTATGTTGTTTACAAGGCCTCTCAAAAAACGAGACTCTGAAAATGCATGGCCGTGCTGAGATGGATTTTAGAAATCATCTGCTTATTGACAGTCGAGCTCGGAAATCGAGAAACACTTCTGGACGTAATAAGGATGACAAAGAATCTTACCTTACAGTTCACGAAGAGACATTAGTGACATAGGAAACAAGTTATACACAAACAACACTTGTCCGGAAGGACAAGTGGGAGATTGAAAGGAATGGTGTCCTTCGAACAATTGTATTATTTCGATAGAGGGTTCGAAACTAATTAGGAAAGCTAATTATTCAATGAGGTCAAGTGATCGGAATGCCTAGCTGGAGGCTGCTTCGGATCAATAATATTAATGTATAATACAACTTGCTCTTGACTGAACCCTTCGGGTCACACCCAATCGTGTAACCGAACCAAAGCGACAAATTATCCAAAGGATTAAATGAGTCGATAGAGATTTTACGAACTAAGACGTTGGATTCCGAGCTTAGAGTGTCAAAGCCGAGCGTCGAACGGGAGTCGAATTTAGGAATCGACGAGACGAGAAATTAGTCAAACAACAAGTTAATGCACACCAAAGTCCTAGCCTCGCAGTGGCCTAGCCATGCGAGGGCTACGCGGGCTAGGAATCCTAGCCGAGCTGCTGCCGCATGGCGCATGCTTGGCCGCAAGCCTAGTAAGCATAGCATCGCTTTGCCTTGCTGGGCGTGTGCTGCCGAGCGAGTGCATGCGGGCTAGCAGCGAGAGCAGCGCCCAACACTAGCAGCCCGCGTATGCTAGCGAGGCTTGCTAGCATGAGTTGTGCTGCGACGTGGGGTGTGCTGTGGCATGGGCTGGCTGGCAGGCCCAGCCGAGGGACCAAGCGCCAGCAAGGCAGCCTTGGTGCCCAAGGCAAGGCGCCAGTTGGCCATGGGCTATTAGAGGGCCGGTTTGTGATGGTTTGCTTGGGGAGCAAGGGGAAGGTGGTCCTTCCCTTGTAGTCCTCACCTACTCCCGTGCTCTCCTTGTGACACTTGTTGTTTGATGATTGTTTTGCCATTTTAATTTAAGTTAGAATTAAATTAATTCATTCTTTTTGGCATTTCACCAATTATCCCACTTTGAAAGATGATGGGAAATCTTGAAAGAAATTCCTTATAAATACCAATCATTGGGTATTGGGAATTTCACTTGAGTTGGTGAACTCTAAGGGATCTCTAAAGTGTGAGAAAACCTTAGTTCGTAAACTCTAAGTAATCTTGGTCTAGCCCCATCTAAGCTACGGGGTAAGGGCCAGTTCGGTAATCGAGGGTGTGAGACGTCGGAGTTCTTGCATTTGCGGGGCTTGAAGTTTTCCAAGTCTGAGCTTGATTAGTGAGCGAAGCACGCGTCGAGGGTGAGCTTCTTTCTCTTTCTTCTTTTTATGTGTTTGTGTTTTATTTATTTGCATGCTTTTGTTTATGTTGTAATTATTATGCATGCGATCTGGTTTTCAGGTTTTGTTTCCGCGCGGTGTCGGACACCGCAAAACCCAACACCAGATTTATTTCAGGTTTAGGATTTTAATATTTATTTATCGGGCTTCAATAATAAATAAAATGAAATGGATTAAAAATGTTTGGGCTAAAATGAGGGTAAGACTATGCTTTGACTAAACATTTGGACTGATTTGTTGGCTGATTTGTAAGCTGTGTTTGACTGAACATGGATTTTAAGCACTCTCGAGATTAAATACTCGACCCAACCAATAATGGCGATGAAAGGTTGTTCATCATTGGGTTTGGTTTTGGGGAGACATCTTTAGATGTCTACAGGATGACTAGTATATCTTGTTGTGACATGGCCGACTTTGCTTATTCTATGCACATCTTATCTCAGCTCATGTAGCATCCTCGAGTAGAGCACTAGGAGGCAACTCTAAGGGTTGTTCGATATTTGAAAGGAACACCGGGTCATGAGATTTTGCTTCAGTCAGATAGTGATCTTACCCTTTAAGGGTGGTGTGATTCCGATTGGGCAGCTTGCCCAAATACTCGTCGATCATTGACTAGTAGGTTGGTTTTCTTAGGAAAGTCTCCCATTTCATGGAAAACAAAAAAGCAACATACGACATCTAAGTCTTCGGCAAAGGCAGAATATCGATATATGTCGGCTCTCACTTGTGAATTAAAGTGGTTGAAGGGTTTGCTGTTGAGTCTTGGGGTTCACCATCCCAAGGCCATTCTTTTGTTTTGTGATAGTCAATCAACTCTTCATATAGCCAGAAACCAGTTTTCCATGAACGCACGAAGCATATCTTGTTAGAGATGCAATTGCAGATGGCACTTTAGAGCCTTCATTTGTGACTACAGATTCTCAGCTTGCAGATATCTTTACCAAGGCACTTGGTGAACGACAATTCAACTATCTTTTGTTCAAGTTGGGCATTTATTATCCTCACCATGCTCCAACTTGAGGGGGGATGTTGGGAATATATTGTATAGTTGGCATATGATAGTTTATGGAAATATTTGATCTTATCTTTGATACTAGGGTGATTTACCTAGGCTTGTAAAACTTATATAAGTTGCCACATGATATGAGAATGGTCAAGCTTTTGCCTCGTTATTATTTTCACATGTCCCTTTTCATACTCCATTTCAATCTTAACCTCTTGATGAAGATCTCATGGCCCGCTCATTCTTTTATCAAATAACTTGATAATTAATGCATTCTTCCATGGTTTCCTCAGCCTCTGTTTTTCCTCCTTGGTTGACAAGAAATTCGGGCATCATCATTGTCCAATTCACAATCTAGAGGAATGTCATTATATGATTCCCATTCCTCTTCTAGAGCCTTGGAATTCAGATTTGAGACTCCCAATAATCCAAATTTTCCTCTAGCCATATGACTATAAGAAATTTTGTATCTTAGTGGTTGCATTGCCGCCACTACTTCCTCTACCACTTGGCCCATTTCAGTTTCATTCATCACTTCTTGTTAGTTGAGATTCCTTTAAGGTGAATTCTCTTACATTTTTTTCGTTTGATTTTTTTTTATTCGATCTTCTCATTTAGCCGGGTGGCTTCCTCAGATACATTTTTTGCTCTTCTTTTGCTTTCGCTCTCCATTTTCTGCAAATCAAATGTTGAAAAAGAAGTTTGAAATTGATTTCTAGAGAAAGAGAGAGAGAGAGAGAGAGAGAGAGAGAGAGGAAAAGAAGGAGGAAGGTTTTTAGTAGTGAGGGAGGAGAGGTCTAAAGGTGTGAAATATTTAGAAAGATGAATAATTAGGTTGGTTGGACGAGATAGAAAAATCCCAAATAACAATAAAAGATTTACCTTTAAATTTTAGATTAGACCACCTAAGAAAGATGCACCATGCTCTACCTTAAAATTTGGCCCATCATGATGAACATAACCCAAAGGTTTACCACAAATTCTACACTTAATTTTAATTCTATTTCTATGAATTCCCCAGTAATTTAGGATTTCAAACAAGGGCTTGATTTTATCCTCTTTCCAGAAGTGAATTTGTCTAGGTTGATCATGAGAAAGAGAAAGAGATTTTGTAGCCGGATTTGAAATAGAAATTGGGAGGGAAGAGGTGGATTGTAAATAGGTTTAGGTTAGTTGAGCATTCTATGCAGTTGTATATTGTCGCCACTGACGGAGGAAAAAATGTAGTCTCCATCAGATAACTGTAGGTGTAGCTACAAATCTGGTAATAAAAATAGCGTAAACCTATCAACCAACTTGTAATAAATATTAACCCATCTAAAAAAAATCATAACCGTAAAAAACACTACACAACAAACGCCGTCTACCTTGAATGTAATGTTCAGTTAGGCGCTGTACTTCTGACTCAGCACGACATGTTGCAAGGAATTGAGCTGACATTTTTTACTTCTTTTTTATATTACCTAAACGCCACTTGATTAACGAAAAGAGGGTAAAGTTGTGTTTTTTAGGTTAGAGGTAAGAAACGTGATTTATTTCCCCACTTTTTACACCGGGAACAATGTGATGGAATGATTACCACCTTTAACAATTTTTGTTACTTTACTCATTAACTAATCAGATTCTAACGAAAACCGTAACCTAATTTGGTATCCACCCCAAAAAAAATTAAAAAAAAATACCAAACACCCTCAAAAATCAAAATTGACAACTCTATAAATTGTGTACTTCAACGATTTTATAAATTTTTTGTGGATAGAGCCCATAGAGGTGAGAAAGTTCCACGGATAGCATGGCTTCTGCTACAGTAAATGGACTGTCCATGAACTGGTTTGCCTCAAAGCTCATTTTTCCAACTTTATGTTTCCTTCCAAAATCTCAATTATTTCCTCAAATTTCTCCTCCTCCCTCTTTCTCCTCTTCTGGGTTGAACAAACTTCAACGTCTTTTGAGAGCTTCTTCTGAAGGTACACCCATTTTTATTAACCTTTGCATTTTTAATTGCCATTTCTGGGTTTAATCAATTAGTTTTGCTTCATTCTTTTGCCACCAATATTTTTGTTTTGTATTGCATTAAAATGATTTACATTTGGGTGATTAAATTTGAGTGTGAAGTCCAATTTATACCAAGTATATATACGGGCATGTATCTCAAGTGACAAATTCGTAATCAAAATGATTGAATGTTGTTCCATGTTGCAATCTCCAATAAATTCTACCACTTTGATTTGTCATAAACTTAATAATTCAAAAGACTTTTGTATGGAATTGTGAAATTACTAGAGGAGTAGAGGACATTTAGCTTGATGATTCTAGAGGACAGTAGCTACTAATTGGAATAATTAAGTTGGTTAAACTAATTGGAATAAATTAAGTGAGTTAACAAACAAAAAATATGTCATTAGATATTTGTTTAATTTTTAAAGAATAGTTGGAGATTATGAGCCCAGAAGTAATAAACAAGTGTGGAAAGCTTTGATTGAAATATGAATCCATTATTAGAAATTATCCGGTTATCCCAATGTTTTCGGGTGAACATAGTTTTGTGAGGGGTGGTTAAACTGGTTATTAAAATCATAATCACCCAGGGTAATCATTAATTTCGTTGATGGGACAATCATAATATCATGCTCCTTCTATCCCTTAATGTTTACCCTATTTACTTATTTATTCGGTCTCCAAGAACACGTTTGACCATGATTTGAATTATGTGCTGGTTAAGTTATAAAAAAGCAAATGGTGCAAACATTAAGGGATGGAGGAAGTTAAGTATGTTAGGAAGCTCATGTTTTGAATCCGTGTGGAAAATATTCAGGTGGGAGGAGCCGGAGGACAATTCTAAGGGAGTCTTGCCTCTAGATTATTGCCACGTGAATTAAGCTTACATGCTTCCTTGTGCACTTGAGAGAAAGTATAGGTTTATACCACCATGGGGCATTGGGGATGAATTCCAAGACATAAATAACTAACCATTTACTCTGTTATCGGTTTCACATCAATGAACTGATAACAGTGTTAGCTGTTCACTGTTTAAGTGTCAAGGGCTTGGATAAGCGGTCTAATACAGGACTACAGGTATACAGTCATTACTGCTTGCGCACATAATAGGAGCAACTTTTTCTACGGATAAGAAAATTGTAGTATTTCCTTGAACTTTTAATTTATAGTGTCTTTAAAGATGGTGTTTAGGCCTTTTGGGTGGATGTGAACTAGCTTTTGTGCTTAATATGTCCGTATAATGTGAATTCTGTGTTCATATTACATCTGAATATCTTTTTGTTGGATTTTGAAAAGATATATCTGATGAAAAAGGAGAATTAAATGTCGCATTGTAAGATAATTAATCAGCTGATCCATTTTTTCATCATAATGAAAAATCTCTTCTTCTTATGGCGTCATATCCTAATGTTTAACTTGCCAGTACTTCAGCTTATCGAATTTGATACCTATCTCTAAGCATGATGGCAAGTTTCAAATTACTTGAAGAAATTGCCACGTCAGGCTAGCAAGAATTGAAGAGTACAGTGAGGTTTTTTGGTCGAATAGTAGTGAGAATAAGATCACTTTTTTCTGCTATCTTGAATAATTATTTTATGGAGATGCTATATACTTTATGGTGAAAAGTATTAGCTAAGGTGCATCGAACTTTGTGTGCTATGTTAATGTAGAACACCTCTAATTCTACATTAACTGATGAGCACACTATTGAGCAAAACTTCAGCTTGGTTTTTAGGAGAAAACTTGATTTGTTTGTAATCTATAATCTATACCTTCTTTCCTTGAGTCCTAATTGGTATAAGAATACAAGCATAGGTGTGTAGCAATTAGTCATCAAATAGAAGACTTAACGTAAACCTTTCTAAAAATTAATATGTTCAATTGCAAAGTCTTTGTTTACGAATGATAAGAAACTGCATTACACATAGGCTGGTCTTTTACAGATACTGCATACATGAACATTTCAACTTAATCATATAGGGCTTCAAGTTCCAAGTGAGCTAGATGAAGATTCAAAGTTTGTTCCTCTGGAAGCTGAAGAACCAAGCTATGGTCCCCCGGTAAGTTAAGATTAGTTAACTTTACAGAAAATTACTATGTTTACTGACTACTCATGTGAATTGCAGCAGCTTTCTGCTGATAAATGCTTATACTATCAATGGGTCAAAAGATAGAACTTTGGCTATTTGAAACCCAATTAGCCAAAATGCATTTAAATTTAACAATTATTCAAGTGCTGCATTATTCTTGATTGTGTGTAATCACAATTCGACATTTAAAATGCACATTCATGTGAATTACTCATAAATCTCTTTGAAGGAATATATATATATATATATATATATATATATATTAGGGTTGGGATCCAATGAGATGGATCTTAAAATGAGAAGGATAAGAAGGAATCCTAGCCATTCATCTAAAACAATCTAACGGTTGGTATTAAAAAAAGAAAGTTACTTTACTTCATCTCTCTCAGCTCACTTCTCTCTCACCAAAGCTCTACTGCATATCACTCTATTATAGAGCTTTAAGGTTGACCCCCTTAGCTCCCATTAATTCACACTCTTCCATTTAATCAAGCTCACTTTCGTTCCAAAATTTTCATTCTCCTGCGCTTTCAACCAACACTAATTTGCTTTTTCTCTCTCTTCCTTCCACTAGCTTTCTCTCTCTAAGAATGATGGGTCTCTGTTTTTTTAATCAATTAATTGAAGCATGATCAGTTGAAATTAATTATTACTCCCTCTATTTTTTTTATTTGCATCAGGCACATTTGCCGAGACGCAACTTTGACCATTAATATCTTTAATTGTCTATTAGTAAAAAAATTAACAAAATTATATTATGAAACTAGGCATTATGACTAATCTAATGATATATTATATAATAACATTTATTTATTTTATAGAGGTGAAAAAATTAAGTCAACCATGATATGTGAATAGTGCAAAAATCAAAGTGATGCATTTAAAAAAAAAAACAGAGGGAGTACAACACTTGGTAGCATAATTCTAGTGAATTATAAAGACATCATAGAATCTGAGTGAATGAAATAGCTTCAGACAATTTTTGTTGAGGTTATACTTATTTTTAGATCTAATTTGCAGGTTTAGTTCAAATCGTTTATTAAGCTTTCATAATCAACCAATCAAAATATATGCACATTCTATATAAACATAATGCACATTTGATTTTAAAATTATGCATATTCAAAGTACAAAAAAATAAAATAAATAAAAAAGAAGCTAAATCAGCCATGAAAATATGCACATAGCCTGAAAGTATGAAATATCATTGCTAGACTAGTACTTCCATAGTTCTATCATAGGTGTAAAATTGCACTGAATTAAGAATGATATGGTATATATATACTATACTGGAAAAACAGATATTATGCACATGGAATTTGAGTAACTTTTTCTTTTGCACATTTTCTTCAAAAAATATGCATATTTACAACAAAATATATGCACAAAAGTCCTTCTCATTTTAAAGATCTTCTCATTTGACCATATATATATATATATATATATATATATATTTCAAAGATATTTGCTTCCTCCCTTTTTTTTTTTAACCCTCTCTCCTCTATTTTTTTTTTTTTCTTTTTCCCCAAATATGCTAGGGTCAACCACTATTCTTCATACTTAAACTTCTACAATTCTACAGTGTGAAATTGAGAGATTTGAAGGAATTTAGAAATATATGGGGTGGGAGAACTTGGAAGGAAGAGGGAGAAAGGAAGCACCTCATGAAAATAATACGAGACAAATTTTAAAAGGTCATGTAAGTTGAAATATTGAGTTGAAAAATGAGTTGGGTGCTCGTAAGTACCTTGAGATGGTACTTTGGGTAAATATGAGGCATGAGGGAATTGGAAGTGCAATTTTGTATATGAAATTCAGGGGACTAGGGGAGACTCTTATAAATACTCTCATATTGCCAGATTTTTTATTTTAGATACTAAACTGCTAAGAAAATATTTTTAAAACCAGTTTTCTAACTGAAAAACCAAAAAAAAAATAAAAAAAAAATATAAGTATAAACGAAGTACATGAAAGCTATCACAAAGAAAAATTAAAACTGTCTCATTTTGTGTGTACTTTGATGTCAATTTGTGATAAAAATGTCAATCTGAAATATTCTTTCGCAGAGTCTGTCTATTGTTCAGTAACACTTATACTTTGTATAATGTATATTCCTGTTACAGGCTCTACTACTTGTGGGTTTTGAAGTGGAAGAGGCAGATAAGGTAATTTCCTTGGTTATTCTACTGTACTTGATGAGATTCACTGCTCCTCTTCTTTCTTTTATCCTTTCTTCTGGGTGGAAAGTAAGAAAGAAGTTCATGACCTACGTGGCTACATAACTCCGTATGAATTTGGTAATGGACATAAATCAAAACTAGGCTGGAAATTTTCGTTTGGAGGTTATCAATACGATGCCATTATTTCTGAAGTTCCCATCATTTTTAATGCAACTCATAATATACCACCCCACTACTAGACTATTCGACTACTAGCAATCGAAGATGGAAATTATAGGTTGAGTCTACTATTTTTCCAAAAACTCTCTAATTAATGGCTACTTGAATATTCTGGCTTTGTTATTTTCATTATGCCCCCAAACAGTTTTTTCTGGTAGTGAAATGAATATAAGTATATATTTTATTTGGGTGTTATAAAGTGGCTGGTGTTGTATTTGTGTGCTGAACAATAGTCAACAATTAAATGTATGATGAGAAATCAATAATGAGGATATACAAGAAACACAAGGAATCACATGGTTCGGTCAATGAGACCTAGTCCACAGGCGAGGAATTTGGGAGCCTTTCTTATTCTTCAGTGAAGATAACAACATGATTACAAGAGTGTTTCTAATTTGGTTCAATTGATGATTATGCAATGTTACTTTTCATAACATTGGAAACACTTATAATACCCAAAATTATTCCCCGGGGATTAACCTAATAGCCATCATAAGCAAGCCTTGAACATAGGAAACAAGACGAAAAATGACACCACATATAGCAATTTATTTGGGCAAACTACCTATGGGTTTGGACGAACATCCCTTATGTCCGGACAAATCTCCCAAATGTTCACAGAACATTTGTGCAGTACCTCCCCTGCTTGATATCAAGGCACAATCAACAGGGGTAAATTTTTGCATATTAGGATGAGAATGCAAAATAAAATAACTTAGGGAAGCATGATTTAGTATGATGTCTCACCTTGTAACCTTAAGAAAACGATCAGCTTGTTTATCATTATTAAAAACTTAATACTTGCAAAGGATACTTGGACTTTTGACATATATAAGACTTTGTTCTTTTCACCTTAGAAAACAATTTTCAGGAACATAAGTTCGAGTAAGGGCTATGATGAAAGGTAAATCAGGTCGTTGGCTAATCACCTAACAATCATGAATTTAATCACAAACAATCCCAAACCCGACCCCTAATATGCTCAAGATCTAAGCTAAACCATCACCATCCCCTTGGCTAGAAAACTACTCACTAATCATGGTTTACATTAAACTAATTAACAAATTAACAATACTAATCATGATTAACAAACTAAGCATTGCAAAGAGATTAACAAGTAATTAATAAAGCTAGGAAAATAAAGAATGCAATATTAAAGCATGAAAGCAAGTAAAGAAGGAGAATAGAGTGAAAGAAATTCCTAAAGAAGCTTGATTAATCTTGAAAAAAGTTGAAATGTTGATTACAAATTCATCCAAAGAAAGCTAAAACTAAGTGTTACTCTCTCTAAAATGCTAAGCTAATGTAGGGGATTATCATCTAATTACATCGTACTTAATACAAAGACTAAGGCCCTATTTATAGAAAATAAGAGAAATGAGTGACTAAATAGGCACGTTCAGATGGCGCGCCACGCCCAGGCTAGCGAGGTTACATCCTGGGGCAGACTCTCCGGTCCCATGCTGCCTACGCTTGTGCTTGAGCTGCGCACGGTGTCTGATGCTTGGTTGACGCAGATCAATGCGGATATCGGTTCCAATGCGTCGGCGCCGCGCCAACCTGCCAAATGCAGTCACGCACCTCGGATCAAAAGTTGAGCGCAGCGGGCGCGCAGGGTCTGCTTGCCCGAGCCGCTGTCCGCGCTGCTTTATGTGCATGCCTTGACTGCTGTTGCTTGTGAGGCTTGGTGGATGGCTGAAGGACAAGGGTGGGTGAAGGGTTGACTGCTATCATCAATTTAGCTTGAAACAAGCTTGAATGATGCCTCGTACTCCAACGCTCACCTACACATGACTAAAGACAAGGAGTGATCGAGAAATAAAAATAAACCAAATAGAAATAAAACTATATTAAACTAATAACATTAACTATATTTCTAAGAAAATAAGAAATACTCCTAAGATATATAAAGACAAGGAGTATAAAATAATGACACGAAAGTAAACTAAAAACAACTAAAAATAATGAAAAACTCAAATTACAAGATAAATAAAGAAAATAAGAAAAGGAGGGAGAAAACAATAAAAGGAGAAAATTATTAAAAAATAAATTTGAAAATGACTCTAAAACTACCCCTAATAGTGTCATAAATGTCACTTATCAAGCTATCCAAGTTCTATTAACAACAGATAGCATTGTCTTATGTTCTGACCATTTTAGACTATTTTCATTTAGTTCTAATAAATTCTGATAGATGAATGGTGAAAAATATGAAACCTAAGTGGATGAAAGGAATAGCTGCTACTGTAGTTTATTCTGATATCAGGTAAAATGGACCTATTGGATATCAAGTATAGAGATATTGACCCAGCTATAATACTTCTGCCAAGTCTTAGCTGCAAGAACTGCTGTCAAAGAAGATGTCTTACTCAAACATGAAAAGTATTGTTGAATTTTTTTGTTTTGTTAACTTGTTTTCGATGTGCCTAAGTAGTATCTAATATGTAGAAATGTCATGCCTAGTACTACAATCTGCATGATAAATATATTCTGTTTAATCCTTAAATGTAAACCTTAATGTTTTGAAATTTCTTTTTTTGATGTGACTGACTGAGTGACCGGAGATATAGGACTCATGGTTCTGAAAAGGTTCAACTTACTGCAGATACAGCAGCTTCTGAAGGAGTTGGAAGGGGAGTTTTTGCAGGTATAATAAGTATTTGTCCTTCTCTTATTCTTAACTATCAACAGGGCAATATTCTCCTTGGGAGGAAAAAATACACAACCTTGGAAAAAATAGTGGTCATTTTTGCAAGATATTTTAGTATCTGTGTAGTTGTTGGATACAGCTCTCTGCTGTGTATTTTGTACAAGTAGTATCTTCTGAATTGTATTTACTAATATTGCAGGTTATCTACTGCACCGAAGACATGATTACTTGCTCACTTTGGGATGCAGTGAATACTAAACAGCAGGACTTGGAGAATTTGAAGGTTAGAAATTAGCTTTGGGATCTCTCTCTCTCTCACCTCTGCAGCTAAGCATGCTCTTTGTAGAAAACTATAGAGAACACCTGACTCCTGTTGGATAGAGAACACCTGATTCCTATAGGAAGAAGGGTGGACTGAGGAGGGGGGGAGGATGAATTAAGTTCTCTAATTATTTGGAGCTAAACTTGACTCTATTATGTTCAAGTTCCCATATATTTGCATGACATGTGGGGCCTACTTAGTTCATGAGTTTGTAAAATCAATCTTTTTAGTTGGAGTTACGTTTGAAAAAGGCGAAATGGGGTCTTCCCTCACTCACCTGTTGGCCGCGTAGCTTTTATTTTATTTATTTATTTTATTTATTTTTTGTGATTTTAATGCTCCTCGCCCTATTGGAATGAGAATAGTTTTCCAAATTGACATTTCAACTGTTCTCCTTCATTGGTGTTGGTAAATGTTCATCCGTATTTTTGGAATGCCTTAAATATATATAAGGAGAAATAATAGAAAAGGAATGAAAAAATGATTTAAAGAAGTGGATTACCAGCTATTTTGAGGGGTGGTCTAGGAATAAATTCTGTCTGCATCATTTGTTTTTGTGGTTCTCTGTACAATACTATAAAAATTTTATTTAAAAAAAAAAATTAGAGAGACAGGTAGAGGAATAAGGGGTAGAACCGTAGAATTTTTTTTAATTTCAATCGCTCATTATCTAGAAAAATTATATATTCTGTAATTAGGTAGTCCTAAAAACATATTCAGAAATATAGAAACATATTAACTTTTTAAGATTATCTATAATCTTTCCCAACAGTTTGGTACCGGTACATACTTACACGTGTAAAACAAAACAAAAGATATGATTATAAGCCTATTGGGAATGATTAAGTTGACAGCGTCCAACTTTTTCATATGGAAGTCTCTAATGGAGGATAATCTTTATTGTAAAGTTTTGTATAAGCCCAACGAGGAAGACACTAAACCGGAAAATTGGAGAATCATAAGGCTTTTGGTTGATAAGACAACATATTGATCAAAGCTTTTTTCAACATGTTGCTAATGACTGATGCTTCATGAGTGTTATATACAAAGAAGGTACCTAGCTGGTTTGTCTTATATACAAAGAAGGTACAAAAATAGCACAACACATGAATGAATTTGAAATTGTTCTGAGAAAATATAAAAGGGAGGAAATTGTTGGGATAATCTCCCCAAATAAGTAAAATAATATTGATATTTAAGATATTAAGAATGTAAAGCCCTATTGTTACTGGCTTCATTACCAACAGAGGATGGAAAACAATTTTTCCATATGTGGAAAGTTATTTTTTGGAGGAGTATCATTTTTCTTTTTTAATAAAGGTAACATTTTCTTCTTTACTCCTCACTTCTCTATTTTTTCTTCTTTATCCTTCCTCTCCCTTGGATGACTATACGGAATAATCATTTTTGGTTCATGTAGCCAACCCTACTTATGGGATTAAGGCTTTGATTGATTGATATCCTTCCTCTCCTTTATACTTCCATTATTCTTTTTCTTCATATGTATTTCTATAATCAAGCAAACAAAGGAAATCTTTTTTTATAATCATGTTATCCATTGAAAATTGTTTTATTTTGAAAATGATTTTCCATGATATATGTTTTCCATCAAAACAAACGGAACCTTTTCTTGTTATAATCCTCTATTGCCACGACACACCAGTTATATTCCTCTATTCCTTTTTTTGTTTTGTTCTCAATTTAGCCTTGAAAACTCTAGTAATTTCAACATATTTCAGTTAATTTGAAACTGCAATACTCTGCTGTTTTTGGTACTTTGGTTGCACTGAATTCTGTTTTCAATGGAAATTGGATTTTAAAATTCATTTCCTTTGTTTGGTTCTCAGATAGAGATGTTAGAGAGAATCAGAAAATGAAGTGTAAGAGAGGGAATGGGTAGGAGGAGAAATAGGGGGAAGTTAAGAAATAATGAGGAAAGGCTTTCTGCCATAGGGAAAACATTTTTCCAATCTTTACAAACCAAATGGAGGAAAATGATAAAACCAGTTTCCTTAAAAAAAGTCGTTTCCTCCCAACCTAACACAACCTCAAAGGTTTAGACCTCAATTACAATATATTGTGATCTATCCTGGAGAGCTAAACGATAGAAACATGACTTTATTACTAGTTGGTCCACACAAACCTGAACTTCCATGGCTCGAGTCTCTGAACAGTCCTCCAACTGTCCCAATTCACTTCAACAACACTTACTTCTGAGCCCTCACTTTCCGCTCAGAAATATGCTCCATATATTCTTCTGAAAAAGCCTTTGGTGTTGTAAATACTATGGATGATTTCAACCATACACACAGACAATCTGGCATCTTGCTTATCTGTTATGCAAACGATTATAATACAGTACCTGTTTTAATCAGAAAGCAACCCTACTACCTGCATGATCTTTTACATATGAGTTGCACCCTTTGCTAGTGATGCCAAAACTATCTATATAATCTGCTCTTCTATTCCATAAGTTTTACTGGTTTTGCCAGCCAATGAAAGAATGAAGGGTGGAGATGGCAATGGCTGACCTTTTTTCTTCTTTCCCTTCCTATCCATGGATACTGAAGGGGATGGCAATGGCTGACCTTTTTTCTTCTTTCCCTTCCTATCCATGGATACTGAAGGGGTTGGCTAACAACAAAGCCTTAGTCCCAAAATAATTTGGGGTCGGCTAACATGAATAAGGAACCGTACAATATAAAGGAAGGGACATAACAAGATAATCATTTGAAAGAGTTTGAAAAAAAGGTGAGTAAATTGAGCAAAAGAAAGAGCATCCAAGAAAAATTAAGTTCATAAAAAAAACTTGTCATTTTTACATTAATTAGCAAAATAACATAAAGACAGACTCGAAGATAATGAAGTGGTGGTCGAGTCTTGGATATTTAGAGCCGCATAGGTCGTCAATGTCGCCATCGATTGGATTGGAGTTTGGTCCACTTTAGGAATATGGTTGAAGGGGATACAAAGGACTAAAGGCGGTAAAAACAAGGCTAAGGTTTTTTTTTTTTTTTATGTGGCTGGCCACACCAGTGTAAGGAAATATGACTCAACGTTAAGGAATATGGCCCAATTCTCTTTGGTAACATGGAAAAAATGTAATTATCTTTGGTAACATTGTGTTATTGATTACAAAATATAATAACTATTTTAATAAAAATCCTTAACTATGACCACAAACTTTTATATTTGGCTGGCCACACTGTGTGGCCAGGGTTAGTTATTCAGGGATTACTTGGTCGGTCAGGGGTTATTCGGTCACGGGTTATTTATTCAAGGGTTACTCGGTAGAAAACACGCTAATTGACTGAGTAACCCAGAATAAGTAACCCTTGACCGACTAAATAATCCCTAAATAAGTAACCTCTGAATACGTAACCTCGGCCACACGGTGTAGCCAGTGGCGGAGCCAGGATTTCCAACTCTATGGAACAGACTTAATATGTTGTTCCATAATTTAGCAAAGAACTCAAAAAAAAAAATTGAATACAAAGTTGTATTTTTAATACTTATAATTCAAGTTTACAACCCAAAAATCCAAAATATTCGGTCATACAATTCAATCTAAAAATTTGAAAAAAAACAATTGTATAAACTATCCATTTAAATTACAATTGCATCTTTAAGCTAAGAAAGTTTTTTTTTTTTTTTTTTTTTTTTTTTTTTAATCAGTCAATAATTACATATATAGATAAGGAAGGAAAAAAAACAAAAAATGTTTTGGGTGGGAAAAATGAATAGCATGATAACAAAACATAATAGTAAAAAGATGCTTGATTAAGGGATTGAACCCATGACCTTGGACAATACTTGTAAGCCCTTTAACCATTGAACCACTTCCTTATCATAGTCACAATTATAAACACAATTACTTATAACTAAATATTTTTTTCTTAAGTTGTCCCTCCACTAGTGGGTGTGGCAAGCCACACATAAAAAGCACCGAACTATGATTATTTTTTAATTTTTTAACAATTGAATTATTACAAAAATCATTTTTATGAAAAAAAAACCCAAAACCCCTCCCCCAGCTAGGCACACCCCCCCGGTGTCGGTGCCTATCCTCCCTCACCCTCAGTCGGCGGCGCCCATCCACCCCACCCCGCAGACAATCCTCGCCCCCTCTTCTGTGTGGGTTGAATTGACCTCTGCTATGGGGAATGGCTTCGATGTCGATCGGTTTTTGCCCTTCGAGGAGTTTCTCACTGATCTTTCTTTGCCACCGAATCTGGATTCTTCGTTTCATTATTAGATTCTACAAATTTGGGTTCTTTTTTTTTTTTTTTTTTTTTTAAACATTATTTTTGTAATAATTTTTTTTTTTTTACAAAATTAAACAATTAACCGAAACCTCTAACTATAGTTAAAAATTTAATTAAAAAATGATTATTAATGTTATAAGTAACTCAATATTAAAATGCAATGTTACCAATGATAAAAAGAATTTTTATCTTATACCAAAGCGAAAAAGAAAAAGGTGAATGTTACCAAAGATAATTTTTAGGTTACAAATTATCTTTTTATTTATACATTTATTTATTTATTTTTTTTTTTAATGAAAGGTTACAAATTATCTTATAATGAAATATTAATAAAAAAAAAGGTTCAAGCTTGTTCACGAGCTTTCGAGCCAAGCGATGGGCAACTCAAGCTTGACTTGTTAAGATTTCGAGCCGAACTCAAACTCGAGTCAAGCCCGCTTGAGCTGAACTTTGACCGAGCCAAGAATCGAGTAGTTCAAAAGAAGGCTCGGCTCGTTAACACTCCTACGTGGGAGTGTTAATGCAAAAATTCAAACAAGTCAATGACACCCTTGCATGAGGCAAGAATAACTTAGGGAATATACCCTTGACCACTGCTGACCTTTTAGTTTTAGAGCTCGATAGGGTACGGGTAATATATGATTATTTAAACAACAATAATTTTAAAGCCAAATTATTTGAAACTAAATAAGAACACATTACAAGTTAGGAATTTTAAGTAAAAAACAGACTGACAAGTGTGTTAAGAACAAGGAGGGACAGTTACCTCCATGGGTTAAACACAATAGGAAGTTTGCTACATGCTCCAAGAATGTTCACAACATGCTATCGCTATTGCTAAGATCTACTCTACCCTAGGCTACTAAGCTTAGAATGCTAACTAAGGAAACTAAAAGGCTTATGGAAATGTAAAGTGCAGTTGTTTGATTGTGTGATTAATTGTTCTCTCTTTTGACGATCCTTGCTGCTTATATAGAGTGATTTGATGACAGTTATGCGTCGTGGTGTGGCAGTTATCTCCCACTCGTAGGGTTTTCTTTATTCTGTTCTTCCTTGGCACCAAACGCAACCTTGAGACTTGAAAGTTGAATTTGTAATTAACACGGGGCTTAAAGCCAATGTACAGTTTGGGTTAATGTGACTCAATATTAAGCCCACTTGGTCTAAAGTCCAGTGTAGTTTGAGCTTGTGCCCTTAAAGTCGACATAAATTGAAAAATGGGTCTCACAGGGAGGGTGTGGAAAAACGGTGGGGAGAAAAAGAAACAGGGATTCACTTATCAGAAGTGTCCACACTTTTCTACAGCTAGCTGGTCTGATGAGAGAAAAGTGTATGCCTCTGTGATTCCCTTCTACTCTTATTATTCTATCCTTCTGTTTAACCCATATTGTGCTGCATCTTTTACTTTTGCATTGACATCACTAATAGATAGGCATCAGCTATCAAAATCCAAAATTCACTTATGCAAGAGCAACTAAGTAATAAAGAAAAAAAAATTGTTTCTGCTGTGCTAATATCCATAATGACAATCATTTTTACAAAAATGAGTAAAGATATAATGTCAAAAGAGGTTTAAGAATCAATGAAATCTTCTTCTATGTCAATGCAGTTTTCTTATGTAAAGAACATAAGTTAATTTGTGCAACAGAACCATATTTTACATTGAGTCTTTGAGCACTTCATTGATGCATCAATAAATCCACTTTTGTCTCATATTTTTTTTTTTTTTTTTTTTTTTTTTTTTTTTTTTTTTTTTTAAAGGTTGAATAAAGTAAAAATCATATGATGTATGTGATATTTCATACCTTATCTTTAACCTGATCGTCTTTTAGTTTTGTGAAACATTGAGGTTGTTCTGTTATGTTTTATTTTAATTATTCAGTTATCAAATATCTATGAACAACATAATTTGACAAATGAAAAGATGGAATTGCAGGTAGTTTAAAATTCCTTACAGAATTTACAAGGTATTGACAATAAGGTGGTATCAGCTGTTTGTAGAAATTGTATGATTTGAGATTTATTAAATATTATGTTGACATGGAAGCAAAATAAGACTGAAGGGAAACCTAACTTTTATTTCTTAATGATTTAAAGAAATCGCTGCTAGGAACCGGCCTGAATCCGATTTCTGTTTCACTTATGCTAGAAGGCCCAAGAAGAGTTAGTTAGAGGCTTTGCTGAGCTGGATGGTTGTTATTACCAATTTTGGGGTGGAGGGTATAATAGTAATCTGTAGAAAGTTTGTTATGAGTTTGTTATTGTTGCTGGCATGCTTTAGCTGTGTTTAAGTTTATTTTATGAGTTAATTGTGGGTATTAATAGGGGTCTGGGTGAAGGGGAATGTATGAGAAAATTAATTAATCAAGTGGCTTGTATTGGAGAGCTCCTTCCTCTCGAAAGAAGGCTGTATTGTTGAACACTCTGTTTGATAATACAAACATTCCCTGGCTGCCATTGTAGTTTGTTCGTGCTAGCTTAGCACTGCTAAACTGATTCCCAGCAATCACTTTAAGACGTGTATCTGACAAGGAGTGACTGGTGATTTTAGGATAATTTTTTTTTTTGATATAATTTGTTCTTGTTCTGAATCTGTAGCTAAATGCAATTGGAAAGTTTTTCAGTACCTCATGAAGCTTAGTTTTCTACAGATTGCAAAATCAGTACAGCGGATATGCTTTCTTTCTGGACTTACTGGGGAGGAGATGATGATGTTCATAGATGCCTTCGAAGAATCTGGTACCGCATTACTCAAAAAGTATTACTATATCTTGTCAGCTGGAAGAATTACAGCCCATGTTGTCAGCTTTCTTCCAGTTTTCAAGCTGTAGCAATAAATTGTTTCATGATCTTAACTGTGATTATATGTCATAGGAGTAATAGGACCATATCCTGATAATGAAAATTAAAGTATTGCGGGTAAAAAGTATCTCTATAGCATGAGACCAACTGATTTCACACCAAGAGTGCCTGAGAGGCTAATGAAAATGTTTTGGTTTGTATATTTGAAAACTCTTGCTAGTTCTATATTTGTCTATCTATCTATGAATTTGACCTGAAAAAAGTTTAAAACAAACTATCTAACGTATTATAATATATGTATATTAGTACTCCACATTGTAATACAAGTCATTAAGGTTCACCTTCTGCATTTTAGTCATGAGTACTTGATCCTGATATGAAAGCACACCATAAGAAGCAAGTCCCATTTCCTTGCAGGGCTAGAGAATGCTGTATTCGCTGCCCATGTTCCCAATAGTTCCAATAAACCATTAGAGGAGTTGATCGAAGAGATTAAGGGAGATCATGAAATGCTGGTAAGCCTTGTGTCTACAACTTTGTAACATCCTTTCTGTTTTCCATTTTCTCATTATGGTTATTATCTCTTTGCATGAACACACTCATAATTGTGTTACTTTTGTGTTTTGTGTATACAGTCTGCGAGGCAATCAGATTCTGAGTAGGCAAACGATTTACTGATTTGCTCCAAAAGATGTGAAAGATCATAATATTTGAATACGTATCATGCAACAGTTAATCCGCATTCACACTCTCCCCCTTGTCTCCTTTATTGGTTGGTGTATTGTATTTGAATACGTGTCAAGCCATCTTGAGTAATATATGAGCAAATCTTAGAAAGGGGTAAGTGAAACATACATAGTAACAATGATACAATGGATTTGTTTCTTTCATGTGCTTTTCTCATGTACTGTATGCTAGTAGTTGTTGATTTAACCAATTTAAACTATTTTTTGAAACAATAAAACTAACATTTATTTATAAAGACTGATATTTTTTGGATATTTTTGTAAGTTGAAGTGAACAAGTTCTAAGTAATTCCCTATTGTAATTGTGTACTTGAATAGTAATCGCTACTTCACTAGTAGTCTAAGTAAAGGTTACATTACATGGGATGGGAATTGATTCGAATGCGGTACGTAAACGGAGACATGAAACGGTACCTTCGGTGAATCTACTCATGTAGTGTGATGGCCCTAATTTTCCCTAAAAGAAATTTCGGTATTTTTTTTAATAGTAACTCAAGTTATAATCAAATCTGGTGGAAAATGAATAAATCATCAATATCAATATCAATAACTTTATATTAAAGGCGAAATTAGAAATGACACTTGTCGTTTTTTGGTTAAAAATATTCCCGCCTTTTTTTTTTTTTTTTTTTTTTTTTTTTTTTTTTGCCAAATTTTAATGACATCCATTTTATAACCTACAATAATACTTATTTCCATTTTGACAACGTATTTAATCCAATTATACCCAATATTTTTTTTACATCATCAATAACTTTATACTATAGACGAAACCAGAAATGACACTTTTCATTTTCTGGTTAAAAAATTTCCCGCCATTTTTTTTTCTTTTTTTTTTTTTTTTTTTTTTTTTTTTTGCCAAATTTTAATGACATCCATTTTATAACCTACCATAATACTTATTTTCATTTTGACAATGTATTTAATTCAATTATACTCAATTTTTTTTTACATATATTCTACTGTATATACTAGGAAACTTTTAGTTGCAAAAATACTAACATAGATTAAAGTTAAGATATTGTAATGTATTGTAATAACAATCAATCAATAACATTATACTAAAGACGAAATCAGAAATGACACTTGTCATTCTCTGGTTAAAAATTTTCCCGCCTCTGTTTTCTTTCCTTAATTCCATTTTGACAACTTACTTAATCCAGTTATACTCAATAAATTTTGGAAACATTCATGGCAATAATCCGACCTTTAGCCCATTCTTTTTTAATAATCCGACCTTTCGATTATTATTTAATAATCCGACCTTTGGGGGTCTTTAATTTTTATTGGTCCCATTTGACCAGAAACCGGTTGAAGAGGTAAATTTTTTTTTTTTTGGTTTAAAATACACGTGTCATTACATAATTGGTCATAAAAAAAACAAAAAAAAAAAAAAATTAAAAAACCCAAATCCATTTCAGCCACCAGCCCACCACCATCCTCACCACCACCCAAACCCAAACCCTAGAACCACCATCCCACCAAACTCGAACCCCAAAACCACCCCACCAGCCTCCCCCCTTCCCCCGCCCCAATTCCGACCACCACCGAAGAGAAGGTCGCCGTTTCGTTGTACGTTCTCTCACTCTGTCCTCCATTGAAGCGGGTTCTGAGCTTTCTCTCTCCTCCATTAAAGAAATTTATGAGCTTTCTCTCTCCTCCATTAAAGAAATTTCTGAGCTTTCTCTCCCATCCATTAAAGCATCATCTAAGGTAAGAAAGGGGAGGGAGGTTGCGATCGGGACAGGGAATGGTTTCGAAGGTGTTCGGTGGCTCATGGGGAGGGATATGGTGGTCGGCGCGTTCAGGGGGAGGGGTACGACGGTCGTAGCCTAGGTTTTCGAGGTGACGTTGCCTGGTTTCGTGAGGGCAGGAGGCAGGTTGGTCCTTTAGGCGAGGGGGTTCAGGCCAAAGCCGGCGCCGGCACTGTCGTTGGGGTCCTGGTGACCGGAGCCACGGGGCAGGGGTGTCAGGGGCAGCGGAGAAGGCTTGGGTGGTGGTGGTTTTGTAAATAATTATTAATTTTATTTATTTTTTCTTTAAAATTTTTCTACATATTATAAATTTTTAAAATTTTAATTAAAGACCCCAAAGGTCGGATTATTAAATAATAATCGAAAGGTCGGATTATTAAAAAAGAATGGGCTAAAGGTCGGATTATTGCCATGAATTTTTCCATGAATTTTTTGTTTTTACATATATTCTACTGTATGTACAAGGAAACTTTTAGTTACAAAAATACTAACTTAGATTAAAAATAAGGTATTGTAATGTATTGTAATATATTATTATTCAAGATTATTATAATATTATCAAAATTATTTCTCCAACTTTTATCATTTGACAATGAAATTTATTTTAATAAAAAAAAGAAAAATTATTTTGGTGGCATACTTTGTGTAAATCTTAAATTATATATATCTTTTATAAGAACAACCGGACAAAATCATATATATTGGAAAATTCAATCTAATTACAATAAACATTTATGTGATTATTAGAAGAAAAAAAAATTAATTAAAAACCCCTACTACTCACTAAAAAATATAGTTAAAAAAGTTGATTAAGGAATACTAATTATCCTAAAGTAAAATAAATTCAACTAAATTTTCATATAACTCATGTCAAACCGTGTCAACAAAATATAAGGGCAAATGTATATGAGTTTGTATATGCATGGGTACTAACCTAAGCTAATATTTTCATTCATTTATATAAAACCTATAGCTTCTAATTTCTATTACTATTTTATACAATCCAATTCAATAACCTTTACGTATTTGGTATTAGTATAAATTAAAATTCAAGTTATTTTGTTACAAATATTATTTTTAGATATTATTGTTGAATAAACACCATTATTTATAATTTATTTGTTGTAAACTGTAATTATGACCGTGCATAGCACGAGACTTAACCTAGTATAATACTAAAACAGACACTAGGAATGACACGCGTCATTGGTGTTGTTTTTTCCCTCCAAAAATCATTTCTATAAAAAAATATTCTCACTTATTTTTCTTTCTATTTTCCTTTATTGACTTTACAGATTATACTTCCTCCGTTTCATAATATTAGTCCCATATGGAATCAATCACATAAAATAAGAAAAGAAAAATATTTCGTATCTAACATTAAAGTACAAAAAAAGTCATAATTAGTTTACCTTATATAACTTTTTTGGCTTTTTTTTTTTTTTTTTTTTTTCTTTTTTTTTTTTTTCTTTCTTTCTTTATGAAAAGCATAAGTCATAATGCATAATTGAAGGTAGAGATTTACACACTTAGAGCCATGTCATCAATCCACAACCAATTAATTCTAAGCAAATTAAGTTAAAAATGGAACATATTCAATATGGATAGATCTTTTTTAAATGCCCAAAATAATATAGGGACTAACATTATGAAATGGAGGGAGTAATAGTCATACAAGATTTTTTAGTATGTACTAAATCTTATGGGTAATGAACTAAATTTTTTTATTTTTGTACATAAAACCTCATAAATATTAAATGTCTTTCAATTTTTTAGAAAATCTATTCCATTAATAAGCTTAACATCTTTGGTATATATACAATTTAAAATTCAAGTTAAGCTATTTTATTTAAGTTAAAAATGAAGTATTTTTCATTTTGTAAATTATTATTAAATTAAAAATTCGTTATAATTTATAAGTAAAACCGTGTGTGATACGGGTTAAGCTAGCATAATAAAAAAATTAAATCTCCTAATCTATGAGCTTGTCTCAACTAGCAAGGTGCTGAATTTTGTTGGTCCAACACAAGGGTAAAATTGGTATTTCACGTGTTAAAATATTATGTCCAAATATATTATACACAGTTGCAAATCTAGCATCTATTATAAGTGAGTTCAAAATATTAAAAATGAATGGTTTACTTTAAATCAAACAAAATAAATTTATTGATATAAATTATAAAAAAAAGAACATTTAAATACATTTTTTTCAATTACTTACAAAACAAATATAATTTAGTGAGAAACAACAATGTATTTTGCTATGAAAATAATTATAAGTACAATTTTGTTTTGTAAAGCATTACTTAAGTGTATATATATATATGTGTTTTTTTGTTTTTTAATTTTTTTTTTATGTTCATATGATTAATACGATAACTCTGATATATTTATATAATATATATACTTTGTTTTGGGTAAAAATAGCCAAGGTCACGTGGCCCAATAAAATAGTGACACGTGTCACCTTAAGATAGGTTCAAAACGAACCTATCCTCTGCTGACACATGGCATCCCCAATCATTGGGAAAAAGACGGCCTTCCTGGCCCAATCCCTGGGATAGTCCATCATTCGTAACCTAGGAATGACGGCGCGCACCCCAAGACCCTATAAATAGGGAGATGTTCCCACCTGGGGACACATTCAAAAATATTCGCATAAAACAGAGCAATCATTAATTGCAGATATTTAATTCTCCACTGAGAGAATACTCCTCTTCTGGGAATCCGAAAAGATACTTTGCTTTCCACACTTTTTACATCATTCGAACACGTTCTAACTTGATCGTCGGAGGCGGAACTTCACCCAATAGGAGTCTCCGTTGTTTTGCAGGTACAGGCGCCCAAAATTCAGTCTTGGAATTATAACTCTCCCGCAGGACACTTAAAAACCCTGAAACATTCGGGGTCGTCTGTGGGGATAGTACTTTCGAGATGACTTCACATGAGTCTGTACCACCTCCTAATGAGAAACGGCCTACGGCCGAGGTTGAGGTCTATACAGACCAAGACAGTGGTGACGACTTCGATGTCGAAACCTATGTGGCTCCAGACGGGTCACTCAGAACCAGACGCACCCGTCCCATGGAAACAAGGGAACAGGACAAAGAACAAGTTGGTCCAAGTGAAACAATTGGATAGCCGTCTGGACAACCCCAGGCGGAAAAAGGCGCAGCCCCAGTTACTAGAGACGAACTCATGAAATTCATAACAAGTTTCAAAGGGGAAATCAAGGACTTGATCAACAAAAAAATGGCTTGCTCCAATAGGGGTCAGTCGGCCAAGAAGCCTTCTCCCTCACAGAAGAAAAAAACCGGTCAAGGACCGTGTGCCTACTCCACATCCTAAACCAAAGGAGGGGGACCGACCCTTGATTGATCTGCGTAAGATCCGATTCCCTGAAACAGGGAAGAGGAAGGCCATCTGGCATGTTCAGCTGGATGGATAAAAGAAGACTTATTCTGATGCCCGGATGTTAGTCCAGCAGAAGAAATGTCAAAA